TTTTTTTTTTATTTTATTTTTTTTTGCGGAACTGGGGATTGAACTCAGGCCCTTGCCCTTGCTAGGCAAGCACTTATTCTACTGAGCCATCTCCCCAGCCCAAGAATTTTTGTCAGTTTGTGTTAGAAGCTGTTTTGTCTATCAAAACAGAAAGGCCACAGATTACATAAAACCTGGCCAACTTGACCATCCAAAAAGGATATTTCGTGTTCTCCTGTTGTCTGCCTAGTGACGACGTGCTCATCATGCTGTTCAGGATTTAAAGCCTTTTGTATGTTCTGGGGTTCTTGAATAGTGCATATCTGCTGGCCACCGTAATGGATTATGATCTTTTGGGTGGTGTTTCATGTTCATCTAGATGCATCACACTTAGACTAAAATTGACAGAAAATGACAGAAAAAATGACAGCATCCTGGAATCCCGCCGCCAGGTTCGCGTGGCAGGGAGCTGAAGTTTGTATTGGAGGAGATGCCTGCACGTCTGTGTTCCTTGAAGCGTTGGTCACGATGGCCAGGGGAATGGAGTCAACTCTTAGTGTCCATCAGCCCACGAGTAGTGTGGTGTATACATAGAAAGGAATTTTAAAAAATAAAATCCTGGTATTTGTGACAATGCAGATGAAACTAGGTGACAGTATGTTAACTGAAATAACTCACACAGGAAGAATTTTATTAGATAATCTGACTAAGACAAATCTAAAGATGAGCTCATAACCGTCTGTTTGTCATTTGTGATTTGCTGGTTTGTTTTGCATACTGACAAGATTTTATTTTTCTTTCAGTTGGTCGAATTGTTTTAGAATTGTTTGCAGATATTGTACCCAAAACTGCAGAAAATTTTCGGGCATTATGTACAGGAGAAAAGGGCATTGGATCCACGACGGGCAAGCCTCTTCATTTCAAAGGATGTCCTTTCCATCGAAGTATGTGTAAAATTTTCTGAAATTATTTCATTCAGATAATAACATCCTATTTAAGAATAGGGCTGGGGAGATAGTGAAATAAGTGTCTGCCTGGCAAGCACAAGCTCCCAGCGTTTGATTGCTGATGCCAAAAAAAGTTAAGAAAGAGAGCACTTAAGAGAGGATAAAGTTTAAAAATTATTGTTGAGGGCCGGCGAGATAGCTTAGCAGACTAAGCGCCTGCTTAGGCAAGCACAGGGACGGGGGTTTAGTTCCCACCCCCTGGCACCATGTGCTGCGCCAGCCCTGCCCCTGGGTGCGCTGAATCAGCCATCAAGACCGGGCGTGGTAGCACACCCGTATAGTCCTAGGACTGGGGAGGCTAAAAACAGTAGGTTCACTATGAGGCCGAGCCACGTAGTGAAATCCTGTACCAAATGCATTTTTAAAAAAGTACTGTTGAGCTGGGTGTGATGGAGCATACCTATAATCCCAGCATTCTGAGAGGCTGAGATCAAGGATGGCAATCATAAGTTTGAGCCTATGTGCTGGGGAGATAGCTCAGCAGTCTAAGCACCTGCCTGGCAAGCACAAGTACATGGGTTTGATCCTTGGTACTGCATGCCTTGCTGACCCCAGAACCCTGGGTGTGCCACGCGGCCCAATGAAACCAGGGCGTGGTAGCACCACTAGTAATCCCAGCACTGGGGAGTCTGTATTGCATAGTGAGACCAGACCCTGCATCTGATTAAAAAAACATTTAAAAAACTTTAAGCCCAGCTTGGGCAATTTATCTACTTCATGAGACCTCATCTCAAAATGAGAAAAATAAAAAGGCCTGGGGATGTAGCACAGCCTAAAGACCCTGGGTTCAACCTTTAATGCCACCACCACTCAAAAAAAAAAAATTCGTGTCCAGGGAAATGCTTTGACATATGAGGTAATACCTTAGTTTTATGAAGGCTGCATCTGATAGTGGGAATGAGCTGTGGTGTTATAGCTTACTCTAGCTTCCCCCAACTTCTTAATTGCCTTCATTTAAATAAGATTTGACTGAGAAAGGAAGGCTGGCTAAAGTCATGCTTTGTTGGGCTGGGGAGATAGCTCAGTGGAGTATGTGCTTGCCTAGCAAGCACAAGGTCCTGAGTTTGGTCCCTGGTGCCACCAAAAAAAAAAGTAATAAAAAAGTCATGCTTTGTGGAAGTTGACTTTATTGATACATACTTAATAGTTAACATTGCCAGAAAATTGCCAAAGCCACCTACGCCTTAGTCACTAATAGCCATTTTCCTTTTTTGCAGTTATTAAGAAGTTTATGATTCAGGGTGGAGATTTCTCAAATCAGAATGGAACAGGTGGAGAAAGTATTTATGGTGAAAAATTTGAAGATGAAAACTTTCATTATAAGGTAAAGAAAATGCACGCTTTTGTTAATATAAAGCTTATGTGCTTGAAATGTACTTGTTAGAGCAAGACATGAAAAAAGTCGTGTGTGCTTAAATTCTTTCCTTACAGAAGGAAGTATACTTATAAATGTGTATATGTACACACACGTACATATTGTGTGTGTGTGTGTGTGTGTGTGTGTGTGTGGTGCTGGGGCTTGAACCCAGAGCCCGTGCGTGCGAGGCAAGCGCTCCCCATGACGCTGCCTCCTCAGCCCAGGGTGCGTCTGTAATGCGCAGTTTCGTCTAGCGATGATTTCATTTGGCAGAAGTCCCAGCATTCACTCACTGCACTCAAAGCTTGCTGCTTCGGTGAGGCCCGTGTATTTTCTTAGCAGTGTGGCTCCCAGATGGCAAAATGGATTCCAGAGAAAGGATTTTCATTATTGTAAACATAATAACTTGTGCATCTTTATCATTGAGTTTGAAGAGCAGCTAAACGTTGCTGATAGCCAGGATGTCAGGATTGTCACACTAGCGGACGTTGGTCCTGTCCCAGCTCCTGCTAAAAGACAGTAGCGGCCCAAGGTCTCGTAGTATGTCGCATCACTAAAGTGTCAAGGACAGACATGTGAGTACAGAGGTGAAGCTCTGCCTCTGAAATCAGGAGTGTGAACGAGGTGATAACAATTGAAACGTGTCATCAGGTGTTTTGTTTTTTGAGGGGCTGTTGAAGTGGGGTCTCACTTTGTAGCTCAGGCTGGCCTCAGATCCCTGGTGCTCCTCCTGCCTCGGCCCCCTGAGTGCCGTGATCACAAGCATGTGCCGCCACACCCGGCAGAAAGTAGCAGTTTTCAGATAGTATTTGTTGACAGCAACTGTGTGCTCACTTCTGTCCCCGGCCCTACAATCTTGTAAAAATTACAGGGCTTCATGATGAAGAGTTTATAATCTTACCACAAAGACAAGGTTAAAGCGCTTGGAACAACTGGAGAATAGCAAGCAAATAAGTAAATGCTAAATTGATGAACTTACTTCACGTGTGTAACTTGGTTCAGGCTGAGTGTCCCTCATATGAATGCGTGGGACAAAAGCATTTCAGAGCAGTTGTACTTGGGTTTGTAATATTTGCATAGACTCTGGCTTGAGCCTCCCTAGTCTGAAAATCTGAAATCAGAAATGTGATGAGTGCTGTTCCCCAAAAGTCCCCAACATTGCAGCCTGCAGAATAGTAGATTTTCAGAGTGGGGTGCTCGCGTGCAATCTGTGCTGGAGGAGAAAGGCATCATTTCTGTGGGCCGGACTCCCAGGGGCTGAGGCTGAGCAGCCCGGGCCTTGGAGGGCAGCGGCGGCAGGAACCGAAATGCTTCAGAGATGCTTCAGAATTGGAGAAGGGATGCGGATGAGGAACGACTAGGGCAGTAGGAGGCCGAGGAGGGAAAGTTCGTACTCATTTAGTATTTGGGAAGGCAGCATGGAAGGCTAGTAGAAGCACGAGAACTGGGCTTACATACGACCAGATGGGCAGAAACGGGGGAGCTGCCGAGAGGAGTCACTCAGGCCTGAAAGCTGAACTTCATCTAGACTGGAGGAGAAAGATGTTTCAGGAGAGAAAAATGACAGTGTGTGCAGCAGTGGGAAAGAAGCCAGAGTGACCAAGCAGAAGCAGAAGAGACTGGGTTGCATGGCGCTTTGGACATGTTGATTCCGAGGCCGACTCTTAATTTTGATGTGTGTAGCCACTTCTTCGGCGTGTTCTGCAAGAGCTGGCTTACCCGCGTGTGAGCTGGGAGATGTGGATGTCTGCATGAGCCGGAGAGCGTCCCGCGGAGTGACTTGTCTCACTTTGCCGGTAGCCCTGCGACTGTTAGCCATTTATTGATGTGTAAAGGAAGAATTGCAGCGGCAGCGGACTCAGTTCGGGCTGGCCTTCTGCTCATTTTTGTAGCCCCCAGGCTGATCTCCAACTGTAGCGATTATCCTGTCTCAACCTCCCAAGTGCTGGGATTACAGGTATGCACCACCAAGCCCGGTTCTGGGCCCAGACGGCACACCCAGGGTTCTGGGGCCAGCACAGCATGCCGGTCGCAGGATGAAACTCGAGACCTTGTGCTTTCCGGGTAGGTGCTTGCACATCTGAGACATCTCGCCAGCCCAGACTCCTGTTTCTGAACACAAGAAGACTGTATAGTCTTCTTAGAAAGAAGTTTCCTTCTAAAAAGACAAAGCTGGGGCTGGGGAAATAGCTCAGCAGTCTAAGCTCCTGCCTAGCAAGCGCGGGGACTCGGGTTCAATCCCTGGTACCACATGCTGTGCTTGCCCTGGGACCCCAGGCATGCCATGCTGGCCGTCAAAACTGGGCGTGGTGGTACATGCCTGTAATCCCAGTGCTGGAGAGGCTGAGGCAGGAGGATCACTATGAGTCTGAGCTGCGTAGCAAGACCCTATACCAAATAAGTAAACAATTAAATAAGACAAAGCTTATTACTAGATTTCCTTAGTTCAGCTTCATCAGATGAATGAAAATATAAGCATCTTTTCAAGATGGCCAGTTTAGAAATAAAACTATTATTATTTTCTCTTATTCAAATTAATTTTTATGCCTGTCCTAAAGAGTGATCAAGTACTCTGTTTCGTTTATTAAAGGTTATAATTCAAGCTGGGCATAGTGGCACACACTTGTAATCCCAGCATTCAAGCTGAGGCAGGGGGATTGCTTCAAGTTTGAAGCCAGCTTGGGCTACATAGTGAGTTCAAGGCCAGCCTGGAGATGTAGAAAGATCATGTCTCAAGAAACAAATAAAATGGTTACGAGTTATATAAAATCAAACTAAATGGCAGTGTATTAATTTTTAAGTATAATTAAAGAGTAAAGTTTTAATCTAATTGGTAAATAGTCCATCCTCGTTTTATGTGAGTGGTCAGTAAAGGAACACCTGAGAATATAGCTCTTACTTGGTTTCCACCTGCTCTTTATCTACAGCACGATCGCGAGGGCTTGTTGAGCATGGCAAACGCAGGCCGCAACACTAACGGCTCTCAGTTCTTCATCACGACGGTTCCAACCCCTCATCTGGATGGGAAGCACGTGGTGTTCGGGCAAGTAATCAAAGGAATAGGTGTGGCAAGGATTCTGGAAAACGTCGAAGTCAGTGGTGAAAAGCCTGCCAAAGTAAGAAGGAAGTCATGTTTTCTTACTGTCTCAGTCCCCGTCTCAGAGATATAAGTTTAAAGGATCAGATGGTTATTGTCAGGAAAAGCTGGAAAATGTTAGGATGGGATGTTTGCCCGCTTCCTCTTGCCCCTTGAAACACCCTAAAGGGAGAGAGGTTTCGGCTCACGGTTTCAGGACTCTCAGTCCATGGTCAGGGGGCTCTGCTTACTTAGGCAGGGCGAGGCAGCTCCTGGCAGCCTGGAGAGTGAGGGCAGAGCGGGGATCAGAGACAGAGCGGGCTCCACGCCCAGGGACCTCCCCATCCAGTCAGCCCACTGCTGGTGAGCATGCAGTGAAGGTGCGCGTCGGAGACAGCCCGCTCGGGGGAGCGGAGCCCTCCACGACAGCCAGAGCTGCAGGAAGCTCTGCTGTTCTAGGGAAGCGCTTATTCTACTGAGCCATCTCCCCGCCCCGCCCCCTTTTTTGGCAGAACCAGGGATTGAACTCAGGCCCTTGTGCTTGCCAGGGAAGCGCTTACTCTACTAAGCTCTGCTGTTCTGAGACAGGGTCTCCCTTTCCCAGTGTCGTGTCCCACCCCTACTCCATCCCCGGGATGACAGGTGCGCACTCCATGTGTGGCTAAACATGAGTGTGGGTTTAAAGCTTCCCGCTTTCGTCACCGTCAGCGTTCAGCAGGCCTGCTGTGCGGCTTACGTTTTCCCTCACCTGCAGAGCTGTCTGTGGTGGGAAGAGGACAGCAAACCTGTCTCCCCTTGTTACTCACTGCTGTGGGCCTGTTTCCTCATTCTGTATGGATTTCTAAAGGGTTTAGTTTGGTCGTTTCCAAGGATTTTTGTTCTAAACGTCGCGAGTCAGAATGACCCTAGCTCTACCCACCCAGTTGTGTGTAGGAATTGGAAACTCACTGGCACTTGTTATGAAGGGAGTAGTAATAAATTAAAAGCTAGTTCCTCAGCTAAAGACAGCTAGGCGGCTTTGAGCTCCTGAGCGGCAGTAACGTATGGGTGTAAATGGTGACCTTGCCGTATTGGGGGCGTATAATCATAGCAGATAGACACGCTCCTGTCAGTGTGACTTGGGTAGTACACAAAAATTGTAGCCGTACAGCTTTTAAACTCACTTTAAATCCCTCGTTCCTGTTAGCTGCACCAGCCCTGCTCACCCCCCATGCCCCACCCCCATGCTGAGTGGGCCACCAAGACGGTATAGTGGCCCAGGCCTGTAGTCCCAGCACTGGGGAGGTTGAAAACAGGAGGATCACTACGAGTCTGGGCTGCACAGCGAGACCCTGGACCACATACATAGATTTTTAAAAATCTCTTGTTGATGTGTAGCGCCTTCTACACTGTGGTATTATTTTACAGTTGTGCGTCATTGCGGACTGTGGAGAGCTGAAAGCAGGTGATGACTGGGGAATATTCCCCAAGGATGGCTCTGGTGACAGCTATCCAGATTTCCCTGAAGACGCGGATGTGGATCTGAAGGACGTGAGTACTGGCGATCTGGCAGGCTGCCACGGAATGTATGCGCTGTACCGTCTGCCACCAAGATAGAACCTAGCACTGTCATAGCCGTCACCAACACCCAACTTTTTTGTGTTCTTTTGTCCAGGTAGATAAAATTGTATTAATAACTGAAGACTTAAAAAACATTGGAAATACTTTTTTCAAGTCTCAGAACTGGGAAATGGCCATTAACAAATACACAAAGGTTTTAAGGTAATGAAACATTCTTATTTTGTGTGTGTGGTGCTGGGGATTAAACCCAGTGCTCGTGCCAGGCATGTTCTGCCACTGAGCCACACCTCTGCCCAGGTAAGAAACATTTTAAAATAAAATTACTTTTAAAAAACTTGTAAGTTGAATTTTAAACTGAGCTTCAGAATTGCTCATTATGGGGCTGGGGATATAGCTCAGTAGAATAGTGCTTGCCTGGCAAGCGCAGGGGCCTGAGTTCAATCTCCGGTTCCGCCAAAAATTGTTTTATGAATTATTTGTGGAATATATAGATGCATTTCTTTTGCCGCCCAAGCTCTATTTGAAAATTTTCAAATACAGAGAAGTTTGAAGAATAGAAATTATTACTCATATGCTTTTACCTACACTCACCAGCTTTAAACTTGCTATTTTTGTTGCTACAAAGCTCTTTTTGAAAGGATATTATCCATGTATTTCCTGTACAAATACAAGGACATTCTGTACCACTTGACACTGTTGTCGCCCACCGCAGTCCAGCCTCAGTAACACCCAGCATGAAGCAAACCTCCAGGCTTCCCAGTTGTTTCAGTTTTTAGGTCCAGGTCTGCCCCCAGGCTGTGTGCTGCCTTCGGGCCGGGTGTCTCTGTGGGCTCTGAGTGGCTGTGCTTCCACCGTCCTGTGTCCCCTTGTTCCTTTGTGTTTGTACCAAGTCCAAGCCAGGCGTCTTTCCAGAACTGTTTTCTTAAGGTGAGGGCCCAGATCTTTGGGTGAGAAGACGTGGGTGGCCGCTGCTGCACACGGCGTCGCCACACGCCGAGGTGGCTAAAGTGCCGTCAGCCTCACGGCTGTCACAAAAATGCGCTTTCCTCTGTGCATGGTGAGCGCTCTGCGAGGTGGCGCTGGGGCGTGGAGAAGGTCCACAGCCGTCCCCTCAGCCGCTCGCTTCAGCAGGCCTTGCACAGCGACAGCCCAAGCCCTTAACGATCTTGCCTAAGTTGCTTGGGAAGGGCTCTCCTGATAGCTTCCTGTCTCAGCCTCCCTGCACACCAGGATTACAGCTGTGTGCCACTACGCCCAGCTGATCCTTGAAGAAGACCTTTTTTAATCTATACTCTGCAGTTAATAGCTAGCATTCTTCTATTTATAAGAGCTCTTTATTTTGAGTTTAAGATAGAAGTGTGTTGCTAATAGCATGTAATTAGATTTGGGGATTATTCTTGCTTTGGCCTTTTGAACATTTTAGGAGAAAACCCTGAAGATATGAAAATATCTTCTCAAGAAAATGGGATGTAGGGCCAGCCAAAGAGCTCAGCAGATTAAAGTGCCTGCTTAGGCAGATGCAGCAGCTGGGGTTCAATCCCAGCCTGCCACCTGTAATCCCAGCTCTTTGGGAGGCTGAACACAGGCGGATCACTACGAGTCTGATCCACATAGCGAGACCCTGTAGACCCTTACTAAAAAAAAAAGAAAATGGGATATGATGTGAGTATAGTGCAGTGGTAGATTGCGTGCTGGCAGTATTGGGCATTGTACTCGGGCCCGTACATGCCGGGCAAGCACTCGCCGCGGAGCTACATCCCCAGGCCCGACTGCAGTCTTTAGCACACACACGAGTGTTTAGTGAGGTTGTGATCTTTGAGTGTCGAATTAGCATTTGGTGAGGGTTTTTTTGTATTAGAAGTAACAAACTTCTTGACATCACTGCAAGAGAGTGGTCTCCGGCGCCTCTGTCACGTGGTGCTTTCTCCTCAGGTATGTGGACAGTGCCAGGGCCGTTCTGCAGGAGGCCGACGGGCCCCGGCTGCAGCCCGTGGCCTTGAGCTGTGTGCTCAACATCGGCGCGTG